ATAAAAACATCCTAAGTGGGTTCCACCAGTAGCAAGGAGAGCAAGCAGACTTCCTCGACAGACATAAACATCTGAAACTAATACAGTACAGTAGGTTTTATTGGATCCCAGGGATCCACACGCAGTCAAATTTTGTTCCTACTGCACATAAGTAGCCAGATTTAGTCACTAGAACGAGCAGAGCTGGCTTGAACCTCACATTTAGCACCTCCGAATGCATCTCTGAACACATTAAACTGGTAGCGAATGCCAAGATCCATCATTCGGTCAGGCCACTGCTGACTTAGACATCAAAAAAGAAAGCCAAAGATGGTTCTGAAGCAATTGAGCATTAAAATATTGTGCTTCCTGCCTGCAGTTTAATTATTCATCTTTCTACAGTAGGTTCTCGGAAGCAAACCCCAACTGCAAAATCAAACAGTACAAAATAATCAAACAGCTCAGAGAATCCTCACTAAATATTAGCACTGAGAACATTCCCCAGCAAGTGCTGAATGACCAACAGATCGGCTGGGGGGGGGAGAGGGGGGAAGTCTACCCCAAAGCCCAATTTGAAGAACTGCTGAGGCCCCCCGAGTTGTACCTTTCAGCTGGAGTTGCAGGTCTCAGCAGCCCTGACAATTAGCTCACCACATTTCCCCAACGATGCTACTAACTCTACCGACGTTTGTCAAAACCAGTAAAACCTTTAAATGCAACTTTTCATGATTTTCTAGGCTTACGGTCAGTAAGAAAACCATACTGAGAAATGAGGGAGGAAACTAAACCCCAAAGGATGAGTGTATCCGAGTCCCTCCAAGAGCAGCAAACAGCTCCCCCACCAGTCCTGACCAGCCCAATGCTCTCTCTCCAATCCATCCAAACCCAGCTCACGGATCTTTTCTCTCTCCCTCCCTTTCCCAGCCTGTCCACTGACAAGCGCAGTGCCGAGACCAGGGAAAAAACGTAAAATAACACAGGTCCGCGGTGACCGCCTTGTCCCCAGGGGGGCTGACTGAGCTGGGTAGGAAGAAAGGCGTGATATTAAGACAAATGCTCCCTACGGCCATAGAAGCAGAAGAAAAGGGTGAAATAATCTTAGTAGCCTCCATACTTGCGCACGCAACAGAGCCACCCAGCGAGGAAAAGGGCAAACTCGGGATTTCAGGGCTTCAGTTTTTCTGAGAGAGACCAGCGGAGGTGAAAAGGGAAGACTGATTCAGGCTGTTTTGATTACTTAGTTGATTAGACTGCACATTGCATAATCATGCAGGGGCTTTTTTGTGATCGGTATTTAAATTAAATGTCTCTCTGATGGGTATTAATACCGGAATGAAACTTATGCATTAAGTGGAATATGTAGCATAGGTGTGAAATATTAAGGCACTTAAAACCAGCTTCCAAAATTCCAATACGCAGTACTTTAAAATGACCAAACTAATAATGTTTAAAGGGGAATTAATTAGGGTATGAAAGAGAAAAGGTTACATTAAAGCATTACGGTCTAGTCCAGAACAAAAGTTACTGTTGTAACAGTATCTTAAACCACAGTAAATGACCTACTCTGCAAACTCCAGCTTACCTTTCCTGCTGTTTCAAGCAGCCACTCTTCCCAGATCGCGAAAAGGAATGATTTTTCTTGCTGGAAAAATACACATCCCCACAACCAAAACAAAAGCCTTGGATATAAGGTTTAGCAGATAAAACATTTAAATGGTGACTTTATTAGTTACAGCTAAAATTCACATAGGTAGAGAATATGGTATTTAAGCTCAACCTGAATCCTCCAAGTAACACATACAACCCCCTGCAAAAACAAATCCCTTCATAGGTGCAGTTTTCACTTGGTGAACTGGTTATACCCTGGCCTTGAACAAAGCCCCCTACTTCATTAACTCCCGATCCTATTTTAATGCTCAAGAGTTACATCTTCAGTAAGCTCCATTTTTAATTTCCCCTTATTTTGCTTCAACGTTACCTTATCTCTGAAACACCATGGGCCATACTTTTCACAAAAAGAACCAACCAGAACTAATTTGTATTCTGTTAACTCCCCAAACACACACAGTGATGTATTTATTTGGCTACACATGCCCTGTCAGGTTGTGTCTGACAGGATCAGCCGGAGAGGAGAGTGCCTTTGTGTTGGTGTAATCAAGATAAAGGAGGTACAATAAAAGGTGTTTATGGGGCAAAAGTTGACATGGAATAATTGTATCTGCAGAGCTAGCACAGAATAGCCTTTTTTGCATCGTGACACCAAAAATTATTCTGAACTCAAAGAACATAACCAGCCCACGTGAAATTCTGCCATATCAGACATCTTGGTCCTTGTCCGAGTACTCTGGAGCAAGCAAATAGCTACAGCTCGGACACAACATTTCTTTCAAAGTAACAGCCGCATAGCTTCACACCCATGCAGGTTTACTCTCATATACATTTGGAGCCATCAAACACAAAACCTAACAGAAGTTCAGCATAGCAGAGCTGCTGAGTGACTAACAGGCTCTAACAACATGCGGAAAGTCAATGTGAAGTGAGCACCAACACCCTCGGTTTCCCTTTGGAAACCTCCAGCCAGCCCCTGATAACGATGAATCACCATCTTGCTGTAATGCTGAGCCGTAGGAAAGATATTTTAAACAGGTCTGATGTGGGTTCTGGAATATGAATGATCACGAGCACATGAATCTGTTCTCACACACCACCCAATCACTATTTCAACAAAAAAATCTGCTTAGAATTCAAAGTGTGATGGTCCCTGGCAACAGAAAACAGGGTTTTCTTGACAGGAACTGCATTTTGGGAAACAGAGGGTTCTAGTATTACACAGCAGTGCTGATCTATATAGCACTGCCTGTAATACTCACAGGAGCCCAGGGACTGCTTGCAGGCCTAAAGCATACGGGAAGAAACGTCAGCTTCACCTCCAAAAAGAAGGGCAGAACAATCAGTTTTATTAAGTGTAAACAAATGAAATACTGTGGAAAATGCTGCGATATTCAAGTTAAGCAGACACACACACGCAAACTCTTACTTTCTATACAAAGGAAGAAGGCACACATCAAAATGGGATCATATGCACAGTATGTTTTATTAAAAATGCAGTTGTACTTAACGTTATTATCAAACAGTTTTATCATATGAAACCAAAATGATGGACCAACGCCCATGTTGCCAACATGCAGGATCTGTATCAAACCATACATAAGTCTAACGAGGGCACCTGCTGAGGTGGGATCTGACACAGCCCAGACCTCTCGGTTCCTTTGGGAGGGGGAGGTGATGCACCCTGCCCACCTGGCCCACCGCTGCACCCTGAGCCCCCCTCTGCAAGGAACAGCTCTTGGTTCAAAGAAACAGCCTTGTGCCAGCGCCTGATCTGACACAGCCCAGACCTCTCGGTTCCTTTGGGAGGGGGAGGTGATGCACCCTGCCCACCTGGCCCGCCAGAGCTCGAGCTGGCACACCGCTGCACCCTGAGCCCCCCTCTGCAAGGAACAGCTTTTGGTTAAAAGAAACAGCCTTGTCCCAGCGCCTCCTTCCTGCCACACTGCCATCCTCACCTTCTCCCCCAGAGCTCCTCTATTTCCTATTCCTTCCCCTCTTCATTCTGGTGATTCAAAACTGCCATCAGTCCCCCCCACCCAGTCCTAACATTTTCATGCCAGCAAGTCCTTAAGGCTCCACACCAGCTCCCCTAATGCATCAGCACAGCAACAGCTTGGCTTAGCTTAGTCCAAATAGCAGCAAACAAAGCAAAACATCTCAGAGAAGCGAGCTATGAACAGCTGCAATCACAAAGGAAGGGCGAGGAAACCCAGAAGAGCTGCTCCACGTTACCTCCACGTGCCCTTCTTCAGCTCTGCCTCTCCCAAAAGTCAAATGGTTTGCGCTCAGCCCATCAGCAGCAGCCAAGATGCAAAGTTGCCTTTAATTTTTGCCTGTTACAGAGGAATTTTTCAAGATGAAGGGACTGACCTAGAGAAGTATCTGGGCTGTTAAGAGAGCACATTTCATTATCTACGCTGTTTTAGTCACTTTGACTCACCAGCATATTACAAGTGAAGATGGGAGTCACTGAAGTTGTTAAAATACCTTTGGTTAGCTGCTGATATCCTGTCCTAAGTCTCGAGGTGCATGTATAGCAGCTGTCCTGACCTCACACATCTGAAGAATTCCAGCTGAGTATGCTTGAGAGCAGGATATTGGTAGCATCTGCATAGCCATTACTCAAATTGTCCCATGAAGAATTTATCTCCTCCTGCAGCTAGTCTGGAGTCTTTATTAGAAAAGGATTAATTAAAATTAAGTTAAAGTATTAGCAGGATTGCTGTCGTATTTTAGTAACAAACAGAAGCATGCACACCATCTCAATTCAGAGATCATAAAATTCTCCAAAGGCGCACGGAGCCAAGCGTTACGCAAGGTCATTTTATCTTCCAAAACTGAAGGATGCTAGAGGAGGGAGAGCTAAGTGCTCTACCCTGCATGATGCAGCCACTGCAGGAGAAATGCGACCAGAAACAGGAGTCCCATTCCTTATGCCCTGCATTAACCTCTAAGCTACTTCAGGGTAAGCGTACTTTCAATGCTTTGCTGTTGAAGTGCCTTAGGGCACAAGAAAGCAGGATGAGAATTCACATTTGCTCCTTTTACTGCAGACATTTCTTCCATTCTGTTGAGCTATATTCAAACTCTGTGAAGCTTGATCGATTTTAATGATACCCAAAGACTGACATGAGTGTAACAACCGCATTTTTGAACACAATACAGAAGCCATGGTGTTATTTACCACACTTTAAAGACTTTCCTTCTCCACTTCGGGGCAAAAATTTATAATATGCTTTCATGTGTCTACTAGGAAACAGACTGCAAGTTATGTTACTTTTTATACTGCTTCTCCAGAGAATGTACTGTATCGGCTGCAGAGGAGGAACACTAGTCAGGTACTTCAAATATACCGTCTGAAAGACAGTAAAATAAAAAGGACGAATTGATAAGAAAAAAAAAGGCAAAAACATCCATGGTTTTATTACAAAAACACCCAGCAACTGTATTTAACACAAAAACAGTAACTGAGAGTCTCATTTTATTTTTCTTTCAGTGTACATGCTCATTATTATTCCATTTAATTTACAGAAGGGCTATGTAAAATGAAATTAAAATTAGAGAGGAAACAAAAGGAAGGTTGAGGCATAGAATTTTCTTAGCAAGCAATGATCACAGGAGACAGCACAGATTGAACAGGGATTCAACAGGAGTGACACCTAGGGATAAAGGTAAACAGTAACTTTTTCCTTATCCATTAGATTCTCCATGGGGCTTTTTTGTTTGTTTTAGCAAAACAGTTTAGAGTATCACAGTATACAGGAAGACTAAATGGCAAAGAATGTCTCACACACACACACACCACATTTATCCCTGCTACTGGTCCAGGATCCAAAACGTCAGTTAACATTCGATTTCCTATCTCTCATTCATCGATAAACTATACAGGATTACACTGTACATGGAGTTAAAATTACAAAAATGTCATATTTACAAAATCTGTACACACATAGTAAAACTCACAAAATTGTCATCTATGTATCACAAGTTGCTACACCAAAATATTAAAAATGGGATAAAATTATACATTTCTCTTGTCCATTTTTAAAAAGGGTTCAATATTTCAAAGACAGACCACCTATTTCCCCCAAATAAGACTGGTAAGAGAACTAGAAACCTAAAGTATCCTCCTGGGATAAAATGTTGCGAGCAGCATCTCCCAACTAGAAAGAAGCCTATATCCTGTCTGCTGGGGTGGGGTGTGCAGTTAGCATGTATGTACAGAAATGGTGAAACTACAATAAGGATGTCTTTGGCTAAACCTTTGGCATAAATTAAAATCATACATCAAAAGTTACAGAAAAGGTTTTCTTGGTGATGCCAGAGCTCGGGAATTTCTTTCTGAGATACCATTATATACAGCTTTTCTTTCTCTAAGGAAACAGAGTAGGAATAAAGGATTTTGGAACAGAGGTAAATGAGGCAACGCTATTTCTTCGTTACATCTTTCTGTAGTACGAAAAATTGCATCAAACCTTTTCACTAAAGCATAATTCAATCATAGAAACAACCTCTTCCAGAATTTCTTTTTTTTTTTTTAAACTGCATAAGAAAAAAATTAGTAAACCAGCCATGGCAGGAAAAAAAATGTTTCAGCATATCAAGTACATATTAGTGCAGGAAGGTGGATAAATTTGATCCACTGTATAAATAAGCTTTATGCGCAGCGTACATTAAATAACCATCACACCCCACTCACACCCAGTACACAGATGCTCCTCAGTGAAGATAAACGTTCATCAAGTAATTAAAGTGTATGTAGTGCAAATGTTACAACCAAGTATTATGCACATGCTACTTGCTTGGTTTAAAGTTACACAAAGATGTGGTGCCTGAAATCATGGACATATATACATCCTTGTCACACTTGGTACAATGTCCTAAGCCACAGAAATACCGATGTGTTTATATCTATATATACACACACACGTTTTCTTAAAATGTGACCACCACATCAATACAGTAACACAAACAGACTAAAATCAATACCTGCTTCCAGATGCTCCAAGGCTCAGAAAGTTTGTGCTTCTAACTCTTGCAGTCATTACGTGCCCCTCTTCCATTTCCCCCTTCTGCCAGCTGAGAAGGGGGGACAGTCTCTTCAGGTCTGTGCTGCATAGGATGAGGGCAACGGAGAGGAATAAACGACGGCACAGGCACCTAAGCTGCTCTCCTCCATCAACAGTTCCATGCCCCATGATGAAGGGTTGAGAGAATTTCCCCTCCACACCGCTCCTGGGTGGAAAGGCTTATTGAAAAAAAAAATCATAACGTGCTTTCCATATTATAAGTGGCAGCAAATCAAGGCACGCTGTACTAATTTTGTAGCATTGAGATTAGCTGACTTTGCAGGGGATGCTCACTGGGGAAGGTCCGATGTTCTCAACTGGCTGCTGGGCCGCGTTGGGCCATACAGAGTAACAGAAGCTATGTGATTATTCTGCATCACCTGCAAAAGGACGGCAGGGAAAAAGGGAAATTAAGAGAACTGTACACCAAACAGGAACTCAGAAGAGTGAAAATGGCAAACAGGGAACTGATCTGCCTGAAAAAAAGAAATTCCAACAACGAAAGAAAGCAACAAGCTCTTGGCTAGCTCCTAAAAACGGTCTCTAGATTTCCATGACACATTTAAACACCAGCATGCTCCACCACTACTCAGAGCTGAGCGCGTGCATCTCCTGCCACCACGAGTTCTAGGTGACAAACCTGAAGTCCCAGCTCTAACATGCAAATGTACAACCTCAGAGAAGAGATCAGGAAGTTGCCCGTTTCTGCTAATAAGCTCTAAAAATACAGCCACTCCCAAGCGCTGGCTTTTCTTGAAATGGGAAATAGGCCAGTAGTAATAATAGCAAACTCCTCATCTTCTCTTGCTCAAACAAATATGAAAGTTTTTCTCCTAACCTCAAAGATCATTCGTTGCAGTCCAAAGCAAAAGGTTGACCCAAATGGGTTAGTGTTGTTCGGAGATGACGACCTGAACAGAAAAGAGGGGGGGGGGAATAAAAATGGACGTGTGAGGATCAGGAACTTCTTAGGGAAGAATAACCACTCAGTAACACAAGGTAAATTATGGCATCTTTATCATGGCTTTCATCAAAAGAAAGTAAATCTACGTTATGCAACACCACTGCTAGACTCCAAGTGAGCCAGAGGATACCTCTGCTTAACGTCACAGAGCCGTTATTAATACTCAGGGAGAAAGTAATCAAAAAGTTACTAACAACCTCTACAGGAAAACTCTTTCACTGAACTTGAACAGGAAGAACCCTGCAAGTAAGCAGATACATAGGAAGAGAGAAGCACCATGTAATTTATTACAAATTATTTCTGTGCAAGATCCTTTCCCACTCTTCAATCTACTTTATTTCTCAGCCTTTACCAAACATATTTACTATATGCTGTCTATTAATTCACTGGTTTTATCATGTTAAAAAATTACCCTGTAAGATGCTGAAATAGAATAATCCAGATTTTACTAAACAGCATTTTTCAAGATTAATGTATCCCTTGTCCTTCAGATATTTCCGATATTTTTGGATCATCTATACGACAATAGCAGACTCCTGCTGACTGCAATGGATTTTAGATTACAGCCAACCCGCTCCCCGCCCCAAAAATATTTACCTTTTGGCCTTTCTTGTAACTGGTCAGTTTCTCAAATTGCATGTCTGAGACATTTGAGATGTGCTCAGTAAAGCAAACTGTGGTTGAACTACTCTCTACAACACAGATGAAAAACAGAAGGGCTCTATGTAATCGCTATTTCACCCCAGCTTTACTTTACATGGCTTCTGCTCTAACGATCTCATTGGAATAAAACAGGAGTAAAGGGGAGCAAAGGACACCATGATGTGGGGCGGGTGGTGTGGTGGTGGAAATCAAACTCAAAGTCATATGAAAGCCTGATGAAAATACCTTGTTAGGTATATCTGAAATTGCTGCAGTATTTTCACAGTACCCATGACTTACACTTGTCCCGAGATAAATCATAGTTTCATATCATATCATAGAACGACAGCACTGCAAGCAGGTAATGCCTATTTAACCCAACACCCCGCTCAACCCCTGTAGGAACGGAGCAAGTGTGAGCACACCGTTCTATCTTCAGTCAGCCGAAAAGAACTGTAGAACAACTATGTATGTTCGTAAAAGCAAGGCTTCTTCAGACAGATTGCTGTCACATACACTACACACTGTGCTAGATGATGTCACGTTGTTGAAATGCATGTGACTAGTATAAAAAAATCTATGTTATTTATTACACATGAACAGAGATACTTGTTTATATGCTGCTTAGCTCTGCTCCGGATTTTACAGTTCAAGGAATTTTGGAAATTTCATTCCAAAATTTTCCAAGTTGTCATTTTACATGTCAGCCTATTTCATCTGAGAGCAGCTATCTAGTCTTGTTAGTGGCCAAAAAGTCTGAAACTGTATCAGCAAAGCAGCCTAAAAGTAATAGTGCAATAAACACCCCTCCCCTGCCTAAACTCATCCTCTGTTATCAGCTCAATCCCTGCAACGAAAATAGAGAGATCTTTACCTGTGAAGTACCACTGGCTTTTCTACAGGGTGCCCCAGAAGATCCTGAATACTGTCCCACTGCAAATATATCAAAGACTTTGTGTTAAAATGAGGCATGGGAAAACTCTTCTTTTTATCTAGGAAGAGTCTCGTGTACGTTTTTGTTTGTGACACGCTCATTTGCCAAATAACACAGGGGTTGTATTTACAGAAGTATTTTGTGACTGAAGCCATACTCAGTGATGGAAACTACCCATTACTAGGGCTAGGAAATCCTCCCAGGGTTTACTCTCATTTTTGTCTCAAAATAGCTTTGAATTAGAATTATTAATATAAAAAAATTTATGGGTCTTATGGGTAAAATGTAGCTGGAAAGTCTTGTAGCATTTTGGGGACAACTCAGAGAACAAAGCAGCTGTGGGAAACCTCAGCAAATATCCTCTTACATACCTTTGCAGACAGAAAAACAGCATCACTGCTACCTCTCCCAAAAGCCTTTCCTTGATTTAAGCGACAAGTTTGGAAAAGAAGAGGAAAGCTGGACTATTTCATCATTGGGAGTGTCCAGCAGTTTTCATCACTCTAAGCAGACTTAATAAGAAGCTGCAGTTTCACACACAAGGCTGAAGTAAGTCAAAGCACTGAAGGATGCAAGTAATTCAAATCAAAAAGCAAAGAATGGCAGCTTCCAGGTTGCTGACTCCGGTTTTTTCTTCCCAATATGGGACCCAAAATTCATCAAGGAAATTGGCACCCCAGGAGCCAAGAGAGCAGCACTGACCCTGGCTGAATGTTAACTATAGAGACACTGCTGAACACAATTTTTGAGAAGTTTTTCAACTTAATGTAGCTCTCAAACATGCAGCAGCAATTTCATTTGGGTAGTAAGGCTATACAGTCTTCAAGGAGTCTGCTGTCATCAGGAGGTGTCACACTGGCAGTGACATTTTTGTAAGGCCTGCTGCTGCCGAGAAACGTCCCATAACTGGCATGCTTCAGAAGAAACTGGAAGGGCACTGGACCCTCTTGGTTAAATACTAAAGGTCTTCAAGAGCGACATTAAGTAGAAAAGCCCTGTGAAAATTCTGTTTAGAAATATCTCTTCCAGCTACCATTCAGCCACCACTGCTATCGCTTTCCCACATCGCTTATTTTACTGTTCTATGTCTACCTGCAGCTATCTTAAAATGCAAAGCATGCAAGAATGCAATAATTTAATTTACTAGAAACGTGCTATTATGAATGCCTTCAATCCTTAACACAACAAAATGCTTAGACCACACAACATACATGAATTTTTGGCCTTCAACTTTTCTATTTTAAACCAACATGATTCAACTGCTATTATTTCTTCAAAGAGTACTGCAAATTCAGCATAGATCATTTAGATGGTTTAAGAAAAGAAGGAAAACATTCAGTTCTGCACAGACTTACCTTGCTGTATGTTGTACATGTTTCAGTCTGTGAATCAGCACTATCTATGAAAGAAAAACAGAAAAGCCTTTGTAGTTTATACTTGAACAGTCTCCTACATAATCCTTTATTTTGGGAGGTTAGCTCAGAGAGCAGGAGACATACAAGCATTAGATTGGTTCATATGCAAATTTACCAGCATTTACTAGCAACCAGAATTGTCAACAACATTGATTAAATGCCAGTTCAGGTGATTAAACAAATCTGCCTATTTACAGCAAGTTCCAAAGTTCTAACACTATATGTGCTTAAGCTGTAACCTTACATAGAAGAATGCCAGTGTAAAAGAGGCTACATCTCCTTGCACTAGGTTAACACGCCTAGCGCAGCCACTCATTGAGATAAGATGGGGTGCCACTCATCAAGTCCAAACACTCTTGGAAAGGAAGCTGGCTAAAACCGACAGCTTGAGATTCAGGAGCCGGCAGGCCTGAAATCAACTCTTTCAAAAACAAAGATAGCAGAGAGCTTGGGAATTGCAGTCTACCTACTGCATAATAAAAAAGGCTGCAGGTGCGGACAGCATTGCATTTACACTTACAGTCTTAAAAACAAATTGTTTGCTGGTGGTTTCAAGCACTATTTCTTACATACATTTGGGGGCTTCTGAACACTGAAAGCACCTTCCTGAAGCAGTGGGAATGGACCTAGACACTAAACAAGTCAAACATAGCAAATGGTCTTTAATTTGATTGAAAGCTCCTCTGTATTTTCCACCTGCTAAATAAACATGCTCTTTTTATGTTCAAAGAGTTCACTTAATTCTGGCTGTCAATCTATTGCCTGAAGTTGAACTACAGAAGGGAGTTAATAAAGCTGCATCAGGCACCGCCACCAAATGGAAGAAGATGGGCTCTTGATAAATTTTGTAACATTTGTTTTCAACTTGTTACATGACCTGAACATAAGCTAGAGACAGAAAGGTGAATTTAGAAAATCAAAACAAACCAAAACCCCAGACATATTCAGAAGAGGTTCATGGTACTACTTGAGGTGAATAAAAATAATCAGAAATGAATGCCTTTGAAGTCTTGCAAAATAACCTAAGGGAAAACAATTTAAAAAGCGAGAACTTTCATGCTTATTCTCTTGGCTGAAGTACAAATCAACTTTCATATAAGCTTGTACATCCAGACATTGTTTCTCCAGGTTTTTATTCCTCTACATGCTCAAACTGCTGTGACGGCCACAGGAGAATTGCACTTTACACAGGGAAGTGCTTTCAGTGAAAACTAATCAAAATGAAGCAAGCATCCCTGGCCAAAACCTTAGCCAGCATCCAGTATTCCCTGGATAATCAAAATACACACTTTCCCAGTACATCTGTTAATTCTTATATAAAAGTAGTCTACCTCGATCACTATGATCTTCACTCAAACAAGGTTCCCCATGCTTTGTTGCGATTACTTACACGCACAGTGCTGGGCACATCTAAATATCTTGTAGAATTCAGCACTACTGATTATATATGTATTTTTTCAAGTAAAGATTTTCAAGTGAACACAACAGCCATACTTTGTCTATAGCACACAGAGCCAACATATTCTGGATATTTGTTCTCATTCCCCGCTAAACCAGTTCATATTAAGTATCATGAATAAGCCTTTCAAAAGCGAGTTCAGGATTAAAAAGTTCAACAGTGGATTGGACAGACCAGCTCAGACTAACGCTGCCTTACAGATTTTGAGCCTCCAGGTACAAGGTAGTTAATTGTAGCAGAGTGGCAGCATTACAGAAAATTAGTGATGTTGCAGCTAAATATTAGTATGATTTAAGTAAGTAAACAAGATAATGTAAGTAAAATCAGAGAACTGCTAACTTGTCCTGAAGTATCTTTTTGACTTAACAAATAGAAACCTAACCCCAGAATTCCACCTCTGTCTCAATGACTGTCACTGTTAGCACCCTCTGATAATGAAGGATGCATTAGAAATGAAAACTGATCATACCTCCCCTTTGAGCATTTTGGGGTACACGCCCCCTGAGCAGGACAAGAGATGAACTACTCACCTCGCTTAATGACTAGTGGAATCTTGAATTCACAGCGATGGTAACTAGAAAGTGCAAATCGTAAAGCTATTAGAAAACAGAAGACCCAAAATAAACTGCATAGCACAAACTTAGGGCTCTTAATAACCAGTTTAATGAAAAGTCACATGAATAATAAAATGAGAGTCTCAATGCTAACAGGTAAAGAAGAAAAGTTCTCACTTCTATTTTCTACATCAAAAAAGGCAGCTGTCTGGCAATGTCCTAACATAATTTTCTAAAGGACACAAAAGGCCCTTCAGCACAAATTACTCTGCTGTTACGCAGAGTGGATGGAAAAATACTCAGCTTAGAAACAGTACCATAGATTTCTCTGTCACTAACGCCAGCTGCCTGAAAATACGTTTGCTTTAATCAGACATCCAATCACTTAATTCCTTAACTCATATTACTCTCCTAAAGAGTTTGCATTTTAAAAGTACTGAAAATACGTTCAGAAGCACAAGATGAAATTTTTTTTAATCACTAACCGAAATAATGTCAGGAAAAAAACAGCAGCCTACCTAACAGTAAATGGACACTCTTGCTAACATGAAGTTTGCCTCTAGCAAGCGAGTTTGCACATTATAGCTGGCCCAAGAGCCATCTTACCTCATTTACTGCTTGAAGACATACTTGACAATATAAAGGCATTTAAAAGTAAAAAGAAAATAATTTAAAAAAAAGTGCTAATAACGATGGCTGAAACCTCCACGGGTTACCAGATACACCAAAAACACTTGGGGAAGAAATACTGGAATTCTACTAAGGGAACATAGGATTTCCTTTTCAGGTATTTTAAAATACTCTTTAACAGATCAGTTCTTCACACTCACATGTTAAAGTTGTAATGACCAGGATAATTTGTATGCAGGACAAATTTCTTCACCTTGTGAGTGTTTGCATCAAAGAGAATATCCTGTTGAAGAAAAAACAGACAGACACGAAGCAATTTGGATAGAGGAAGGTGGCTTTCCCCAAACTAACCTGAGATTAGTTACACTAGTACCTGTATATAGTGATATGTATCTATCTCATTGGAACCAAATGGAACTATGAAAAGTAGTATTTGAAAATGAGACTATTTGTAAATTCAAATAAACGCCCATTTCCTCCAGCACTCAATAACAACTGCAGTTTCATTTGCTAATGTTGACAAGTTTTCTAAGGAAGTCTTGTTTTTCTGCATGTTATTTACAGTAACTTACAGCAAAATAGCTGTAAGGAGGGACACGAAGGCTGAACTACATCCCACAACTCGGCAAACTTTCACAATTGATACACCTATCTCAGTTCTGTGGGACAGGAGCATGGATTTCAGAAACAAGAACTAGTGTATCTGTGCATCAGGCATGGCAGAGGGAGAAAACCTAAGAGAATGCCAAAGTGCAAACATAAAGAGCCCTCCATCCGCTGGTGGAGATGATAAAACATTACTGACTGAATTTGCAAGTGCTAGAGAAAAGGCAGTGGTGCTCTTCATAACCAGAGATTCCTAAGGCAGCGATCAAGAGTTTTGCAGTCTCTCATTTCTCACAGCCTTTGGCCTTCTGAAAGGATTGCTGTGTGGCCAAATCAAAACTTTACAAGAATTTGTTTATGGAAGCTTCCCACTCACCACTCCAAGTGTGAAATAATTGAAGAAGTAGTCATTGCACTTTGATGGGACCTGCTTATGGGGCGAGGGCGAATGGATTTTCATCTGCAAGACACACATTTTTCAGAGGTATTTAATAACGCTCACAAAGATGAATGCCGTTAACAACATCACTACATTCAAACAAATTGCCGTCATCTCATTTGAAGCCCTTGTTCAAATACGTAAGATACTGTGCTTCATGACAGGACCATCAGCTGCTTGCAGTGGCACAATGACACATCAGGTTTTTTCTTTTTAGTTATCTGAAGCAAAAGGTTTACTCATATGCTGCTACGTAAAAACATTAGGAAAATATATGCTAAAGTTATTTTACATAAAATATAATTAAAAAATAGGTAGTACACACTTGCTGAAGCTCATTTGGATTCAAAAGTGCTCCCATTTTTATCAATTTTTAAACCAGTTAAAATGGTGCAATTTTTTTTTTTTTTAATTTAAACAGATTTGCATCAATTTAGCTTAAAAAAGCTTTTTAAAATCAAATTATGTAACAGTTCATCCTGGTCTATTACATGTCAGGTGAAGCACTCATAATTTGTCTGACATGGAAGTTTAACTTCACTGGCCTTAAAAAACACAGGCCCTGTGATTAAACTGAGACAGCACTGAACAGAGAGAAAGTCCTGCGCCTGAATCAATTCCCTCACCTTATCTTCGGACTTGTAGAAGACTTTGTGTGGGGACCCCAGGGTGCTCAGCACATCCTGGCACGAATCACCAAAGTACACACAACGCTCAAATACCCGCATCTTGGCATCGGCTAAAACACCCGGGCCACAACCTGCAGAATGAAAAACAACTCAAAATTCATCCTTCCTGATCAGAGAATACATCAGCAAATCAACACCAAACGCTTAGCATTCCTCTATTTATCACAAACCAGCTGCATTCTTTAGACAACAGTGCCAAACTAAATTTAACCCTTTATCTTGCAACAGTTTAAACATTTCTTATCAAAGGGACGTGTGTGCTGACTGCTGCACAGATCCCCACACCCTAACCTCCGGCGTCAGCAATGCTATCTTCACTTCCTTGCCATACACGAGAATGTGACTTGTTTTCCTAGTCAGCCTCAATTTGATCAGCTGGTTATTAGCAGTAAGTACCAGGAATTATTTCTATCCTTAAAATATTCTACTTTAGCAACTAGAGATGTATCTCCAGCTGAAAAAGTAAAGTCCGTGAAGTGAAATTCCTCATCCATATTAACTGTTATCAGAAAACACACATCCTTTACTCAAGATTCCCATAGCTTATTAAATCAATAGCAAGTATGGTCCTACGCAAACAATGTTAAAAATGGCTCTTACTGAATAGCCATTACATAGATGAATGGCTGCCATACGTTACTAGATGTTAAGAAATGGAAAGGCCTTACAGTTTGTGACCCCATTTGCTTTCTGGAATGCAGCATCTTACATTTACGAGAATGCATGTACGCATACGCAGCAGTTACTGCAAAATACAGGATGTGCGCTAAATACACACTTAGCTTTTCTCACTATACATTATTTATGTAGCCAGTTACCCAATAAAATAAATCATAAAAATCCGATTGACTCATCCTTGATTTCTTAAGCAAGAGTTACTTCAAATTAATACACTTGCAGAGAAACTTGTGCTAGAACAGGCGTGTAATATGTTCTACAAAGGAGTTTCTGCAAACTTTGGCAAGATTGCCTCTCTGCAAGTTTTAGTCTGAACATTAGTGACATATTTTAATAATTACTTTATTCATTGACAACATTTCCTTTAAGCTGCATATATATATATTTTTCACTAAGCTTGACACTCTACCTTAGAAGTGTCCAATTTCTCAAAATCATTTATATTATGATGATGTTATAGCTAACTCCTTCCCTAGTACACGAGGATATATGTTCCCTGCCCTAGGCAGCTCTCCATTATCTTCCTCTGTAAAGAGAGAAGCAAAGTAACTTGAAAACATCTGCTCCATTTTTATTCACAATTTTTTATTCTTCATCTTAAATTTTCTCCTTTTTAACTTTTGCATATTGGGAATGCATTCCAAGTGTTTCCTCAATATACATACAGCTAGTAATCAGAAGAGGTCAAAAGCCGAGCCTGCTAATGAAAATTGTTAAAAACATCTCAGTATTTTTCTCTTAAAAACATTGTCAAGTCTCAAGTTATGGTGACTGAACAAGGCTCCTTTGCAGTCATCATATCTT